AAGGATGGATGGATGGATGGATGGATGGATGGATGGGGAAAGGATGGATGGATGGATGGATGGATGACGGGTGGTTGGGAAAAGGATGCATGGATGGATAGATGGAGAAATGATGGATGGATGATGGAGGAAGGAAGGAAGAAGGGATAGTGGGTGGCTGGATATATAGGATAGTTGAAGGAGGAAGGGAGAGTTGGGTAGATGGATGGCTGGACGAAGGGATGGATAGATAGATGGGTAGACAGATAGTTTGGTACATGTGGGGATATGTGGATGGATGAGAGAAGGTGGGAAATTGAGGATGGAAGAAGAGGAGGCTCCAAGTGACTGGATGGACGGATCCGTAGGTGGGTCAATGCATGGGTTTTGGTTTCTCTTGAACGCTAAGGCAGCCCTTGCATCATTCAACATACATTGCATGCCTACTGTATACTAAACATTGAGGAAGTAAATCGGATGGACAGCTTTTTACCAGCAGGGCAGAGTGACCCCGCGAAAGGGGATCATTGGAAGAAATGCCCCCTTTTTTACCAATGACGTCAATTTTATCAAAGTGTCCCAAGAGAGCAGCCATGGAGATAAGAGCCCACACCCCCAGTCTGCTTTTCCCTCTGTCCCCCCACTTAGCCCCAAGGCCTGGGATATAACACGAGGTTCTCAAGACAAGAAGGTCGGCCACGCCGTGTTTTGTGGGACCTCGCATTGGTTCCCCCATGGTTACCGCTGTCCCTACCAGTACTTGCCTGGTGTTAACCTGGCTTAGAAAGAGAAAGCGCAAGTGTGGGTGGGGAGACAGCCGGCCCTTCCACAACACTGAGAGGGTCCCTGGGGCAGGGGACAATTTTCTGTCCTCAGGCAGGGGTTGGGGACCACTACCGTCCCTGGCCTGCCTGCTCCTGTCAGCCCAAGTGGCCAGCACCACACAATGTGATTGAGAAGGCACACAGGAACATCTTCCAATTCAGTGGCACCAGATGTGAGACCATCCAATTAAATTGTTCGCCAGAAGCTTCCCCGCCCCGGAGAAGAGGGTCCGATCGTTTGGAGGAAAGGCTGTGGACAGACCCCAAGATGGAAATGAGCTGTGGCCTTCTGGTCTCTGGTGCCCACACCATGCCCACAGCCCAAACCAGATGGTAAACACGAACATTTTTACAAGTTAATTTAAAACCAATTTGATCCCCAAATTCACTGCCCGGGTAGAGACTCCTAATCAATCAGCCGACACTTGACTGGAATCATAGAGCCCGCAGTCACCTCGGGGGTTAATTAAAGATGGTTATATGCTGTTTGAGAAATAACTTTATGTAACAGGCTTAGACCAGCAGGGGCTGGCTCCCACACTGGTGTGGACGCTGCTGGCAAGGGCTTCAGCTATTAACACGCACAAGGACAGGAGGGCTTCTGATGAGGACAGCTGGCCCCTCCCACTCCCTTCAAAGTGTCCTCAGAAGCTTGCAGATTCTCTATCTGCTATGGAAAACCACTTACCCCAAATAACTGTCCGGCTCTTAGTGACACCAGGTAACAAAACCCACGTGCCCATGCCACGAGGTCAGCACTTCAAATCCACCAGCTGCTCCTGGAGAAAGATGGACTGTCTCTTCCTGTAAAGATTTATGACCTTGGACCTGATGGAGGGTCATATGAGAGTCAGCTGGATGGTGGTGAGCTTGGGGTTTGGGGTTTTTAACTCTATTATCAGAAGGGACCTGTCCCCGGGAAAGGACATCATGCTTGGAAAAGCAGAGGGTGAGCAACAGGGAGGTCGCCCCCTCAGTGAGGTGGGCCGTCGAAGAAGCTGCAACGGGCTGGCAGGGCAATGCTTGTGAGGATGACGGGCTTCTGAGTGGCCGTGCACGCGGTCAGGGAGCTCTGGGGCCCGGGCGGTAAGGAACTGCACTGAATGCCAAAGGCACTTTCCTAATTCACCAGCTGCTCCACGGGAGGATGGCCAGTGATTTACGGCCTCTGAGAAGCCACTGGAGGGTCAGCTATGGGTGGGTTCTGACTCAACAGCACACAACACCGGCGTACACAGGATTCCTGGGGTCTGAATCAATTCCACTGCTCCTAACAACAGCAATCTGTAGGAGCCCTGGTGGTGTGTGAACCAAGAATCGATGCCTTTGAGCTGTGGTGTTGGAGAAGAGTGTTGAATATACCATGGACTGCTAGGAAAACAAACAGGTTTGTCCTAGAGAAGGTGAAGCCGGGCTGTTCGTTGGAGGCAAGGATTCTGGGGCTTCGTCTGACATACTTTGGACATGTTGTAAGGAGGGACCGGTCCTTGGAGAGGGACGTCATGCTTGGGAGGGTGGAGGGACAGCACAGGAGGGGAAGACCCTCTATGAGGTGGATTGATTCAGTGACTGGGGTAATCGGGATGCGTGTGTCAGAGGCAGTGCAATTGGCACAGGATAGAGCAGAGTTTAGGGCTGTTGTACATAGGGTTGCTAGGCGTCACAGGCGACTCGACGGCAATAACAATAACTGAAAGGTCGGTGGCCCACCCCACCAGCTGCTCTTGTCAGGGTGGTCACCTCGGACACTCTAAGGGCCAGCTCGGCGCCAGGCCTAAGCAGCGACTGCACGCGATAGAGCTTGGTCCAGTTTTTCTGAAGCAGAATTCCAGTTCTTTCTCTGGTTGAGCCTCTGGGAGTGATCAAGGTGCCCACCTGTCCAACAGCAGCTGAGTGCATACCTGCTGCACCACCAGGGCCCCTAATCACTACTGTCCCTAAGTATCCAGTCTGCCCAGGACAGCTCTTTTCTTTTTCTCCCCAGGGAAGGGTAGCCTGCAGGGTTATTTGGATGTAATGCATTATCTTGTCAATATGCACTAATGTGATAAGTGGGAATGTGGCTTAATATGCCTGAATTAAAGCGGACCCTAACCAGCTGTAATTATCGACACTGGCACAAAGTGCATGTGGGAATTTACCACATGTCAGGGTGAGGATCCCTGAAACCACCATCATGGTGGGTCCTTTCCCATACATCAAAGGTTGGCTGGTCCACCATGAGAATGCAGAATAAGAGCTTTATAATGTGCCAGTTCAAATAGGTATTTTTAGCCTTTTGCCTCCACTGTAAAATTTTTTCTTTCTAAGCAGAACTCCCAAACAACGCTTGTTTGGCATGAAATACTCTGCAGCAATTTGTGACTTTTTTTTTTTTAAGTGTTGTGATTTCGGTGAACGTTTACAGGGCAGATTGGTTTTCCATTCAACAATTCTTCCTTACTGACCAGTGACGTTGGTTGTGAGCCTCATAATGTGACCACACTCTCCTCACTTCCCTGTGTTTCCCATTTCCATTCGTCCTTCTGTCCTCACCCTCCCCGTTCTCTGAGCTTCATCTTTGGGTAACGGCTGCCCTTCCGAGCTCACGTGGCTGGTTGTTCCTCTCTGGTGTTACTAGTCATCCTCTGGGGCTGTCCCTGGTTTGAAAGTTGACTGAGAGGAGGGGGTTCAATTCCAGGCTTGAAGGACGAGTGAGGACCGCACTCTCAGAGGTTCCACCAGTCTCTCTCAGTCCACCAAGCCTTGTCTTTGTTATGGAAATCTTTTTCCGTTTTTATTTTGTTTTTTGAGAAAGTAAAGCCTGGAGCTGACTTCCCGGCTGGACCATCAAAATGCCCATTCCCCTTGCCCAACCCACTTGAGATTCTGGACCTCAGTCTTCTGGAAAGAGAAGAGCAGGGCAGGTGGCAGATGGCAGGCCAGCCTCTCTCTGACAAGTGACTTTCCCAAAGATGTGAACTTTTCAAGGTGACGCTCTATACCAAATTCAGGGTAGCAGCTCCCTTAAAAACCAAACCAGAAGATATCTGTATTTGGTTCCTTTTTTACCTCTAGTAATGTTTCCCCTCCAAAATGCAGAGGGACCACCCCCATGCAACTTGGGCTAGCATCAATGTACTATTGACAGGTGTACTGTAATCCACTTGATGAGAAGTCATAAAGTAGGGGTGATGGTAAACTAGGTCAAGAAGAGAGGAAGGCCAAATCCAGCCTGGGATGACCAAGGGCTATAGCTGTGCCTCAGAATGCAAGCATGGCCAGTTGACCCTAATATAAATAACACCGGAAGAAACATCTCTGTGCTGTTGCTCAGTGATATTCAGCTGGCTCCTTAGCACAGACTCTAAGCAGTAAGGCTCAGAGGACATGACTATTTTGGCAGCTTTTGGTACCTTTGCCACATTCACTTTACAAGGGTGGTAGGGACACAGATGCTCACTTTTCACTGTGATTATTCTGAAGATCAGAACATACATTCCCTCCTCTTTGCTATGAGACCAGAACTACTGCATGGTACCTGATAGCCATGAATGAATGTTTTGATCAAAGATGCTATAAAAATATCCTGACCAAAAGGGAAAGAATGTGCACAAAAAATCCAAATTCTCATGGAATCTAGACTTTCTAGAGCTATGGAGGCTGGATGAATCCATAAAACTACTGGCCTGAGACATTCTATAAACCTTAAACCAAAATACCCCTTGAGGAGAAAGGAGTATAAAATATTATTAAATAAGCTGGGTGAAGGGAAAGGCAATATACAGTTACTTTGATTAGATATTATAATTACTTAATCAATTGTGATTAACATTATAAAGTTAGTATCGACGAGTGATTGAATGAAAACTAATATGATTTGTAAACTTTCATTAGATAAAACAGGACAAAGACAAGACAGATAAATCATGTGTTATTTGTAAACTTTCACTCAAATAAAAATTAATTTTTATTATAAAACAAGAGAAATCATATTTTTTAAATCTCTTAAAGTCTTCTTAGAACCAAACAACAGTTTTGCTTAACCAGGGCAGAATGTCTGCCTTGAGTACTGTGGTCTTTTAAAAATTTGTCGTTGTTGTGTGGCAGCTGATCAGAACTAACACATAGCCAACCCTCCAGAGGGTTGTCAGAGGCAGTAAATTGCATGGGAGGAGACTGTCCATCTTTTCCTGTGGAACAGCGAGTGAATTTGAACTGCTTGCCTTTGGGTTGGTAGTTCGGGTCCCTACCCACGCGGCCACCAGAGCTCCCTAAAACTATATGAGATCAAACTGTCAAGAGCAACTCAAAAGAGAAGATAGGAATCTTAGTGGGCAGTGACTTTATTTTCATAAGGGAGTAACAACTCCAAAAACAAAAGGATGAAAATGGTTGCAAACTCCAAGAATTCAATCACTGCCACTGTTGAAAGGCTCAGCGCCCAAGCCCATTACCAGTGTTATGCAGATGGTACAGTCTTGCCTGCTGAAAGCTAGGAGACACTTGCAACAGAGGATCAAGGACTACAGCCTTCAGTAGGGATTATATCTCAACATCAGGAAAACGGAAATCCTAACTGAGCCAATGAGCAACATCATGACTGCTGGAGAGAAGATTCTGTCTGTCAATGATTTCCACCACAATCAACACTCCTGGAACCAGCAGTCAGGAGAGCAGAAGACAGATGGCATTGGGGCAGTCTACTGTCAGGGATCTGTCCAAAGTCCTGAAGAGCAATGATGTCCGTCTAAAAACCTAAGTCTTCGCTCAATGAGAAGTTACAGAAAACCCCTACATAATCACTGCATATAAAACTGTCTTTGTGTAAGAAGCTGCACTGCAATCCCCGAGGTACACAGTTCAAATCCACCAGATGTGCTGCTGGAGAAGGGAGGGACAATCTCCCCCTGTACCAGTGTCCCTCAAGCCACAGCTTTCCAATCACTTGCTATGCATCTGAGAGCTGGACAGTGAATAAGGATGACAGAAGAATAATCAGTGCCTTTGAGCTGTGGTGTTGGAGAAGGGTGTTGAATATCCCATGGACTGCCAAAAACCCAAACAGATATGTTGTGGACAAAGTGAAATTAGAGTGCTCCTTGCAAGCAAAGATGGTAAGTTTCATCCTTACAAACTTTGGGCAAGCTGCTAGGAGAGGCTATTCCTTGGAAAGGTGGTGAGTGAGTGAAAGAAAGGACGACCCTCTGTGAGATGGGTCAACCTGGTGCCTGCCACAGTGGGATCGATTCTGTGATTGGGGTGGTGGGAGTGTGTCGGAGATGGTGAGGTTGGCACAGGACAGAGCAGAGCTTAGGGCTCTTGTGCATAGGGTCGCTATATATATATAGAGAGAGAGAGAGTCGTGGGTGACTCAACAGCACATAATAACAACAACACGTGCTATATTTGCAGCAACAACAAAAACAAATAAATAATTGAAACAAAGCAAAGAGTTACAAAGGCTGGTTTGGGGGGGTGGTTTGTTGGGCTTTTTATAAAAAAATAATTTTATTATTTTGTGTGTGTGTGTACCATCAAGTCAGATCTGACTAGGACAGGAGGAGATTGTCCCTCCCTTCTCCAACAGCACATCTGATGGATTTGAACTGTGTACCTCGGGGATTGCAGTGCAGCTTCTTACACAAAGACAGTTTTATGTGCAGTGGTTATGTAGGGGTTTTCTGTAACTTCTCACTGAGCGAAGACTTAGCAGATGAGAAAGCCAGCCGTGCACCCTTCCAGAACATTCGGAGCAGAGCAGCTAGCATATGCAGAAAGGCCTGGGGGAGGGGAGGAGCCAAGAGGCTCAAGTGACTGGAGGGAGGAGGGGAGGGGATGCGATAAGACAGGCCCACTGGAACTTAAGGGTGGGGTGCAGAGTTGGGATTCTCCACTTGAAAACCTCTCTCCTTGTCTTTGGCAGCACCACGCTCACCCGTGCCCAGCCTGTGACCTCCTGCTGCGCGCTGACGAACATCACCCGCCCATCCTGCCCCCACAGGTGGCCCCGGCCCTGCACGTCCACGGCCGCTGGATCAGCACACGCTGTGAGGCACGGCCCGCTGTGCTCTTCCTCACCAGAGCCTTCACCTTCCATGGGCACAACCGCTCCTGGGAGGGCCACTACCGCCACTTCTCAGACCCGGCCTGCCGGCACCCCACCTTCACCATCTATGCCGCTGGCCACTACACCAAGGGCATGCCATCCACCAAGGTCCACGGGGGCACCGAGCTAGTGTTTGAGGTCACTCGAGCCCATGTGACCCCCATGAACCAGGCCACCACGGTCATGCTCAATTCCTCAAAGCCTGGCAGCTGTGGACAGCCAGGAACTTGGTCCCTGGGCACCGAGCAGGACATCACGGCCACCAGGGGGTGCCTGCCATTGGGCATCTGGCTGCCCCATGTGGAGTATGAGCTTTTCAAGGTGGAGCAGGACCCCCATGGCCAAAGCCTGCTCTTCATTGGACAACGGCCTACCGATGGGTCCAGTCCTGACACCCCTGAGAAGCGCCCCACGTCCTTCCAGCCCCCTCTGGTCTTGTGTGATGAGATGGCCTGGGACTTCCCCAGACCACTGCAACACCAGCCTCTGCTGGTAAACCACCTCAGTGGAGGGGGTCTGTGTCCTCATGTCACCCCTTTCCCACTTCTACTCCTTGTTCTAGCATTCACCTTCCTTAGGTTGCTCTGAAATTGGCCTCCAAGGCTTCTCAGGACACCCCTCTGGCCCTGGAACAACCAGTGGCTATGACTGCACCTCAAAGTACGAGTGTGGCTGCTTCTCCCTAATATAACTAACTCCCAAGTGGCTATCTTTGCGCTCTACCTCTTTACAGCTTGTCAGCTCTCCAGCACTGCCTCCTGTACATGGAATCCCTCAAACACTGTGTGAGGGGCCCACCATCTTCATTCCCATCTCTTATAGATGCACACATGGCTTGCTCTTTGTAACCTTGGCCCAAAGGTTTGCCAGCCCCTGAGAAGTCTATTCCAGGCTCCAGACTCGAGTTCTCAGTCTTGTACTGATGGGGGTGGAAAGTTCAGAGTGCCATCCAAGTTTCCACGTGTGTGTGCTCTCTGTGGACAGCTGATGGTCCAGACTGGCCAGTGAATTCCTTGCTGCACCCCCCCCCCCGTCCCAGCCTCTCTTCTCCCCTGGGCCTTGGCTGTAGAATGGGGTGACAAGACACCCTGAAACTTAGTATTACAGAGATGATGCTCTGTTGCATCCATAGGTTGTTTCAAGATGGTTAACTGGATTTAGCAACAACACACACACAAGCTGGGGCCACAAATCAAAGATGCTACTTCAAGCTTTTTGTATTTTGTAGTGTTCCAGTAAAAGGCACCACTTAGGGCTACTTGGCTTTCTTGTCTGACCAACAATGTTTGTCAGCATCTCCCGTGGCCTGGAACCCCAACTGTCACTGTGTCAGAGGAGGACGGCCCCCCAGGCACTGGCCTGGTGCCCATACTGAGGGCTGCACGCTGAGCTGCTGCTCGGCAACTCTTTGGAGGGAAGCAGCTCTCCCAGCCTTTGGAAAGTAATTAATACTAATGACAGCGGCGACGCTAACATGCCCTGCAATTAGCCCACAGATTTCCTTGGGCCTCACAACTCCCTGTGCTCAGCAGGCAGATGGGAGGCCCCAAGTGCTGGCTTTGGGAACCACGCTGTCCCAGAAGGAATGAAGGTCACTGAGCTCAAGTCAGGAGGCCAGGCTTTGCCCGGCCATCACCCCAAAGCTAATGAATTAGGGTCCCACTCTGCACGGAGGGGCTGGCCGGACAGCTGTGCTTCCCCTGCCTGCCTCCTGGGGTCTCAGCGCCATCCAGTGGACCCCATGCCGTGACTCACCCCTCCCCGACCCTGTCTCTCTCTCTCAAACATGTCAGGGGGGCCAATGACACTTTCTCAGGAAGTCCTTGTCCTCTGCAGAATTGCAGTCTGCCAGCTGGCACGGCCCTGGCACGTCTCCCCAGCCTTGTTAGGGAAAAGGGGAAACCCCGTCAGTTAGTATTCTCCAGGGGTCTGCTGTACAAGCGCTCCTGACACGTTCACGTAAACAGGCATGACAGCGTGGAGCTGGTCGGGGTGGGGGAAGTGCCTGGGTGGGACGAGGTGGGCGTCAGAACGACCATGACGGGGCCAGCTCTGTATTAAGGCTTGAGGGAGGCATGCCGTGGTCTATCACCAGAGTGGAACTTTTTAATAATATTAAACAGCCCGCGAAATGTTCCTGCAGGGCCTTAAAGCAGAAGAGTGGAAGGATCCCAGGGAGTGGGGCACCGTCGAGAGACCGTGAGACCGGGGGCTCTCTGCCGCTTCCCTGCCACTGGCAGCCTGGCGGAGAGTTCCCCAGGAGATCCCCTCCCGTGCAGGGCACTGCCTGTTTCTCCCACCCCATTGCCTGGCCCTGATGGTGCCAGCTGATTCCCACCTCAGGGCCTTTGCACTTGCCCCAGCCATCACACATTTGTCTCCTATTCATTCAAAACTCAAGCTGCCTCCTCTGAGAGGCCCACTTGCATCTCCCCAGAAGAGGACCTAGCCCCTCCTTGTCACTCGGCACAGCCACCCTCGTTTCTGTCCTGCAGAGCATTGTTTTAGCTCTTCCCAGGATCCCTGGTGGTGCAGTTGTTAAGCATTTAAATGCTAACCAAAAAGTCGTCGGTTCAAATCCTGCGGGAGAAAAACGCGAGCGTCATCTGCTGAGACGGCAGCTGGGAAGCCCCTGGGCAGCTCTCCTCCGTCTTAGGGCCGCTGTGGACCGCAGCAGGGTCAGCAGCACGTGGTTCTGTACCACAAGGAGCCTGGTGACACAGTGGTTAGAGTGACAGCCAAACAAAAGGGTCTGATGTGGCTTCTCCGTGGGAGAAAGAGGTCAGCTGGGGCACCTCCCGGCCCTGTAGGTTCCCAATGACTTGGGATCGACTCCACGGCTGTAGGTTTGTCCGGTTGGTTATTGGGGTAGATACAAAGAGCCCTGGTAGCTCCGTGGTTAAACACTGTGCTATTAACGAGAAGGTCAGCAGTTCAGACCCAGCAGCCACTCCACAGGAGGCAGGCAGGACTCTCTGCTTCCATAAAGATGGCAGCCTGACACCCCCTCGGGGCTGTTCTCCTCAGCCCTAGGGGTCCACTGACTCAGAATCGACGACAATGGGGTGAGCGGTTTGCTCCCTCAGGACTCACTCACTGCAACACAGTAGAACCTTGAGAAGTAGTAGACAGCGAGGCTGATGCCCACAGGCCCACTCTGTCCTCACACCAGACACAGTGACCACATCGCCCGGAGCATGGGCATCCAGGGCATGTGAGGCCTGGACGCTGTGTGTGTGGCTGCAGAGGCTGGAGTGGTGCAGGGCCTCGTCCACGGCCATGAGGTCAGGAAGGAGCTGACCGCACAGTTAGGGCCTTGGCCGCAGGTAGTAGAAGGAGCCCCGTTGTTCTCAGGCGCCTTCAAGCTGAATGCCACTCTTACTGACCTTGTGAACAACACACTTGAACCCTGTCCTACCTACTGTGCCAGACTTGACACACTTGAGCCCGTTGCAGCATCAGTCCATCTCACTGGGGTCTTCCTCTCTTTCACTAACCCTCCATTCTTCCAAGCATGTTGTCTCTTTCCAAGGAAAAGCCTCTCTTAGCAGCTTGTCCTTGCCGCCAACGAGCACACTGGCTGCATGTTCCCCAGGCCATATCTGTGTGTGCTTCTGACCGTCCACGGGATAGTCAGGACTCTTCTCCAACAGCACAAATCAAAGGTGACGGGGAGAGAAGGCTCCCTAGTGGGGTGGAATGCATTCACTGTGTTTGGGGAAATCGGTTTAGGATTATTCTTGAGGGTGAAATCATTGCTTCTGATCAGGAAGTGGAGAGAGGTTCTGGGCTCCCAGCTTCTCCATCCTCCCATGACTGGAAACATGATGGCAGAGAAAGGGCAGTGCTCCTGTCCTCTGGGGAAGAGGTCAGGGCTCCTGGACAGAGGCTGTCATAGGCCTGGGGCCTCTGGCTCCCTGCACAGACAGTCTTAAGAAGGGCAGTGCAAACTGAGCTCGTGTTTAAAGCAAGGAGAACCAATAGATTCATGTTCTCCATCAAAGGTTCAGTCCCACTTATAAGAAAACCCATGCACACACTCGCACGTGCACACACTCGCATGTGCACACACTCGCACAGACAGCTGCACACACGTACACCACGTCACAGTGCCAACTCCTGGGAGAAGAAAGGAGCTGTAGGGGGTTGGGGTTTTGTTTTAATAAAAAGTCTAAACTGCACACAGCTCTCAGGCGTCCATTAGCTAACGGATGCGGGTTATCAGAAGTGATCTCGGCAGCTTTCCTGAGCAGTGGGTTTTTGTGTTCTGGGCTGCCGCCAGGCCGAGCAAGCACGTCTGAGCCGTGGACACTGACTGGCCGCAGGCCCCTCTCCCGGGAACGATGGTGACTCAGGTGCGGGGGAGAGAGGGCTCTGACTCAGCCTGTACAATCTCATTAGAGCTGCGGCCTGGGCCACCTCATCGCCGCTTGTGTCACGAACGGGAGCGGGAAGGAGGGGGGAGCTGATCGCCTTGGAGGGGCCGCACTTAGGCGGCTGGTGGGACCTCGTGTTCCTGCTTGATGATACAGAGTGGGTCCCTTCACGCACACGCCGGCCTGCTAGGTGGCTGTGAGGACGGTACAAACTCCTGACAGTGTTTCACGAAGCAACCTTGCTGGTGTCCAAAGGACCTGCAGGCCCCTTGCCCCCGTCACACCATCCTGCCCCAGGGCCCCCTCACTATTCTCTAATCACACCCCACGTGCCCCTCCTCGCTCTTCTCTCTGCCTGGCACCCTCCCCGCCTCTGTCCCATCATCCAACTCAGACTTCAAGTCACCACCCAACACCCTCAAATCCAAGCTCACTGCCACCAAGCCGATTTCGTCTCATAGCAACCCTCAAGGACAGAGCAGAGCTCCTGCGTGGCATTGTCCATTTTCAAGGTCATTACTCTTTATGGTGGGGTCTGTCCTTCTCCCACGAGGCAGCTGGCGGATTCAAACCGCTGACCTTCCCGTTAGCAGCCCACAGCTTGGCATCTTGGGGTTGCTGATTTATCCAGTGAACACACTGGAGCCCAGAGCTGGGAATTTGAGGGTTTCTGGCTTTGGAAGTGCCCTGGCGACAAGAGCCGTCCTCAGACATGGCCCCCAGGCCATGTGCCTCTCCAGCCTACAGAGGCCAGGCAACCTGGGGGCCTCGGCCCTACCGGGCACAAGACCTGCCGCCATTAGTTCTAGTAAATGAGTTTACACGGTCCTTGGAACCCCCAACCTCACCACGTGGAGGGACCAAGGAGCAGTTAAAACTGAGGCAGTGACCCCGCGGAGCACGCAGCCTTCCACACAAACGCGTCTCCTCCCAGGCCTGCGGGGCTCACTTCCGAGGGCGTGTCTGGGACCTGCTGGTCTCACGTCCACACTGGGTACGTTCCAGTCTCTCAGGTTAAAAAAAAAAAAAGGTGGTCCGCGTTTAGGTTGTCGTTGCTCCTACAAGATAGTTCAGCTACGGGGGAAACAACAAAGCCAGTGCTCCGAGTGCCTTTGGGGGATGCTTTCTGCTTCGGACTGGGTACCTCACGGCATTAGGGGTCCCGGCACGTCCTGAGGTGTCTTCTAACACACTGTTGTTGCGTTCTAAGTT